AAATAGTAAAACAACAAGAATATAAGAGTGACTTATCAAAATTCTCTCACTATTTAAGATATAATTGTTATTCTCCTTATTATTATTATCACTTTTTTTTATCATTATTAGCTCCAAAATAACTTGAAATATCTGAACTTGAATGTTCCAACTTCTTCTTATATTTAAAAATCAACTGGCAGTAAGAATAATTGAACATTAATAGGACGTTGAATTTGAAATATCTTAATTCTTATTGTGTGCATTTATATTTTACACACAATACTATGAAATAGTAAAACAACAAGAATATAAGAGTGACTTATCAAAATTCTCTCACTACTTGAGATATAACTATTATTTTCCCTATTATTATTATTATCATTTTTTTTTAATCATTATTAGCTCCAATCTAATTTGAAATATCTGAACTTGAATGTTCCAACTTCTTCTTATATTTAAAAATCAACTGGCAGTAAGAATAATTGAACATTAATGGGACGTTGAATTGAATTATGAATTTGAAATATCTTACTTCTTATTGTGTACATTTATATTTTACACACAATACTATGAAATAGTAAAACAACAAGAACATAAGAGTGACTTATCAAAATTCTCTCACTACTTGACATATAACTATTATTTTCCTTATTATTATTATCATTTTTTTTTAATAAATATATTTGAATAATTGCAAAACATTAATAGGACGTTGAATTGAATTATGAATTTGGAATATCTTAATCCTTCTCATGTACACTTATATTTTACGAACAATACTATGAAATAGTAAGACAAGAACATAAGAATATCGCTTGTCAAAATTCTCTCACTTCCCACGGGGAATAACTATTACTTTTTCTATTTTTTTTTTTTTTTTATTTCTTTTCTTCAATCTTCAAATTAACTCTAAGGTTAACGAACAGAATGCATTATCGACTCTTAGAGAATACATACTTACTGTCGCTCGACGTAATCCTTGCGTCGGACAGCTTTCCACATCGTGGATCGTAAACCGGTGATTGCGTAAGCATGGTGTAAATCGTATCGCGGCAGAAACGCGTGAAAAAAAGTCCTCGCGTTACTCAATGAAGACTCGAGATCTCGAGGT